TGACGAATATGAGAACATCGAATGCAAAATTCTAATGACATTAGATCAATTTAAGGATATCCTTACATTATTTTCAATTTATTACGATCATTGAGAATAGAAAGACATTTTCATTTTAAGCAACATGGGTTATACAATCGACTTAGACAATTTTTATCTTGCATTATAGTATCGCAGTATCATATTATTTATATATTTCAATTACAATTCGTAATTACATCAAAGACATCAATACGTAAGTCACATGTTTCAAGAAGCGCGACACGGATAAGACGAACGATTTATAATTTGTTGAAAACTCCGGACGTCACTTTAACTGCAATTGATGCACTCACCCCGTTTCATTTAATTCTGCGGAGATACGGTGTCCATAAAATATCGTTCAATTGACACACTATGGATCGGGTTAAATATTCGAGAAGTTCCTCGGAATTTTAAAATACCCGTTGCAACGTTAGAAATGCAATCTCGAAGAAGTATCACCGAGGAACAAGACGCTCGAGAACGTTTAAGAACGTGCTGGTAAGCAGCGAAGGAAGCTAAAAGAAACGCGAATGTTTAGCTGGAAAGTTTTCGAGTATCTGACCAGGCAGGGTCTGCACTACTGGCGGCGCGTGACGACAGTGGAAACGGAGGTCAAGGGCCAGACGGTCCGGCGAGCTGGTTCACAGCCTCCCCCGTCCCCCCTATATCATTTATCTTACTTTCTGCACACTCGACCGAAGCGGCAATGATTGAGGGAAAAACAGCGAGGAGTATAACGGGCGTCTAAACTTTTACACCGCTTCGAATCGAATTTCTAGGAAAGTTTAATTAAAAGACTTCTATCACCTAGAAACGAAACTTTCTTTAAAATAGCTTTGGGAACAGTCTCGAGTACGTGGACGGCGGAGGGGGGAGGGGGAGCCCTGTAACAGGAATCGGATCGAACGGTGTTGAATCCAGTAGAATCGTCGGGAGATCTGTCGCAAGCCCGATAAAACTAGAAAAAGAATATCGGGGGTCTAACAGCGGCGATAAAAAAGGCTATCGCATTTCCATAAAGAATAAGAAGAAAGAAATTCCGGTAGAGACGAGGGAGCCCGATAAGCCCGCGAAGGACGGAAACGGTACTACAAAAGGGGCGGGCGGCACCCGCGGAATCGGCGGTCGCTCCGCCGTTGCTCGGAGCCCAATGACGCGATCGGGCAGTCATTTATCAGCATAATTGAAATCGCTGGCAACGCTTCGGGCGGCGTTTTCTCGCGGCGAGAACGGCCCCGCGAGCGCCGCGGCGTCGTTCTGTCGAGAGCTGAGGCACTTCCACCCTGTTATTTGGTGGATGGCGGTTCCTCGGACTCTTTTCGACTGTCGAGAACTTGTTTCTGCGCCGATAGACTCGATTTCGAGCGTACAATTGGTAAACTTTTCACTCGAAAACGGTGAAGCGTCTCGAACGGCTTGCGTCAGATTTCTGCTGAGCACCGACTGGATTTAGGCTAGCTATTAAGTAACTTTCGGTCAGGCGTAGGTCTCGGGTTCTAGTTCAATTTAACCACGGAGCTGTTCCTTGGCCGGTGGACTCAATTTTCCGGACAATTGGCAAACTTTTCGCTATGAAAGCCTCAAAACTGATCGATGCTTAGGCCGCGCCTCAGCCCGAACTAAGTTCCGGCTAGTTTCGCGCTAGGTTGATGCTAGATCCCAGGGTGTTCTCGCGACCGTGCGAACGGTATTATTCATGATATCATGAATTTTCATCCGCGGCACTCGAGATTGCTCGTTACTTCGCGCGTACACGCGCTCGCGCGAGCCACGGCTTGCGCCGCGAAAGCGTTTTCTTTTTCTCGTCTTTGCTGGGGTAGAGAGAGAGAGAGAGAGAGAGAGAGAGAGAGGCGAAATGAATTTTTCATTAAGAAAGAAAGCCGCGAGTGTAAGTAAACGCGGGGGAAAAACGGGGACGGAAATTCCGCAGCCGTGAACCGTGTAACTTCTCGACGGGAGGATAGACTGCAATGGGCGGTGGTCGACCGACGCTTGACGTCATCGTCCGAGTAGGTTGTTCTTGCCCTCTGACGACAAGCCGGCGAAGAAACCGGGCCAGGAACATGACTGATCGAACCGAGAATTGAAACGCTCGGCAAGCATATGTTCGCAAGGTCTCCCGCCCTTGCTCGTCACTCCCCTAACTTCCGTCGAAGATGTCACTTCGCTGTCTCTGGCCCGCCCTTTCGTCGCCCTCTTGCTTCCCCTCGATACGAGTCCTTTCTCCTTCGATCGATTACTTAATTTTTCCTTTCTTTACACACTCTGTGTTAGAATCTTCTTTTTTCTATTTCTGCTTCAATTTCTTTGCTATTTCTCTTTTCCATTTTCTCTCAATTTTTCATACTCCGTTTCCGTCACTTAAATTTTTTCAGACGATTTTTCTTTCTTTTTCGCTCTGCGAATATATATATATATATTATATTATATATATTTATTTATATATAATATATAAAATAATATATTTATTATATATTTATTTATATATAATATATAAAATAATATATTTATTATATATTTATTTATATATAATATATAAAATAATATATTTATTATATATTTATTTATATATAATATATAAAATAATATATTTATTATATATTTATTTATATATAATATATAAAATAATATA